CAGTGGTTATTGTGGAATACAGGTTCATGGTGGCCTCAATCAAAAGGATTTTAGCCTAATGCTAAAGAAATCAGGATTTAAGTATAAATCTTATTGTTTCAATGTAGATCACCCTGAAACTACAAACTCTGGCTTTCTGCAGTAGAAGATAACTACTTGACAGGGCAGTGGGAAATGCCCGTATCTGCTTAGTGCTTTGCCAAATGGAATCTGTTTGGTTCAGAATGGATATACATCAGTGGGGGTTACTCCATTACTATCCTCAGTCTAGTCTCTGAGTCAGGGCATAGCTGTGTTTTTCAGGTGATTCAAACTGATTCTGAACTAGCTTCAGAGTCAGAAATTACCGAGATGATGAAGAAAAAGGGTTATTTTTGTTTGGAAGGAGAAAAATGAAAAACATCTGGACGTATAGTCTTCAGATGTCAGCCAGAGAGCTGGGAGGACCAGTGTAAACCCTGTTTTGTTGGTTGATAGATTTCATTAAGTTATTGTTTTATGGAAAAATATGGTGGTTTGTTTTTTTTTGTGTTTCTGAGGGTTTTTCCCTCAAACAGTCTCTTCTTACTGAACATGTGAGATCTTTCTCATGTCTAGAAGTTTCAAAGCTGCAAATATTCATGTCAGTCAAGAGGGGAGGCAATTACTGTGCTGCAATTAATTTATTGACTGGCAGCTATATCTCCGTGAAAACAAAGACTTGAGACGTGAGCCTGATCCTGCAAATAGCTGAAGTGCACTTAAAAATTTAAAGGCTAGACTGTAAGAGAGGTTCTTGGTACATGAGACAGGATGTTTTTCTCAGCTTGTACTTGTAGCCAGAAGACATCAGACAGCCAATGGCAAAAATCTTAGGAGTTTCTTTTCAGCCTGACAGGCTTGTGCTGATGTAGATGTCTGTTGAGGCTTTGAACAATTTTTTATTTATACATTTGAAAAGTGTAATAATGAAATGCCTAAATCTCATTGGAAAGTGTAAGAGAGGAAGATTTGGGGAGGAGAATGGTAAAACCTTGCAAATGCATCTGCATGTCACAGATTTGATCAGAGCCAGGAGCTGGGCTGGGGCTTGAGAGCATCACTTCTGCTTATGGCTCTGCTATAGTTTCCTAACACAGCCATGATGGACAGACGTATTTCTGTCTAGTTAGTTGTATGTAAGATACGGGGGAGAGCATTACCAGGACTGACAATATCATCTCTTGTGGTTGCACTGGGTGATGCTCCGGCACAAGAGCGGGCACGGGTGCTGAGAGAAGAGCTCAGAGCTGCGGTTTCACGGCATGTTGCGCCGTCGTATCTGAAATAACCGAGCTGGTGCATGTGTCACGCTGCGCAGCCCCTTTGTAGGTTGACTCATGGTCTTCACAGCTGTAAGAAGAAGAAACGAGTAGCTGGTGCAGTGAGGAGTGTTTATTTTCTCTAAATGTATGGTAATGGGTAGGGATTTCTCATTGCAAGAGCTGAAGTCAGGCTGCCTGCGCCGTGGTGCAACGAGGGGCGGGATGCAGCTCCCTGCCTGCACCCATGCCTGCCTCCACGGGGTGACTTGCCGTTGGAAGGTGATTTCACCTGCCTTGAAGTATAAATTGCCTTCTGGAGGTGCCTTGATATGTCTCAAAGCTTAAGTACCTCCAAGTGTTCCTGCTGATGCCAGGTGAATGTCAACCAAAATGCCAGCCTCAATGCTGAGCAGTAATCAATACTAATAAGCCTGTTGACCACCTTATCCCTTATTCACGGAGAAGCTGCAGTGTTAAATCAGTCAGGAGAATGTGGGTGCTCAGGGTGGGATGTGTCCTCCATCAGCCCGTGGTTATCTCTGATAACCCCAGAGCCCCATTTCCCCCGTGGCTGCCAGTGCATCCATGCAGACCAGGGGCTGGTCCTTTCCCCAGACAGCTCCCCATGTAGCTGGCTGGTGCTGGAGGTGGTCAGCAACGGGGGGCAGTGATATACTCCACCTACACATGGACTTTCCTGCCTCCTCCTATGGCTCGCCCAGCTCTAGCCAAGTGAAATCAGTCTGGCTTGCAAAGCTTCGGGGGTGAGGGAAGGTCCCCGAGGTGCATTGTAAGGAGACCCTGCTTAAAGATTTTTTTCCTCCTCTAGTCCCTCAAATGTAGACCTGTTTCTTCCGCACTTCATCTAAAGCATACACTGCTCAGGACGCAAATTCTACAGTCTTTGCATGTTTCCCTCTCTGCTGGAGGGACACTTCCAGCAATGTCAATAATAATAATAATACAGTAACAGCTTTCCCTCCTGTATCCAAGGGAATACTCTCCCGTGAGTGCAGTGGGAACAGCATCGGGTCCTATGTCTGTGTGTGGGAAAGAGGAAAATGCAGTGGCAGAATAAATAACTAAAGCTGCGAAGGAGAAAAGTCCATCTGTTCGCAGAGGACCAGGAAAAGGCCAAACATCTGCAAGGTCCTCCCAGTTCATCAGGCATCTGCTCTCTGCTTCCCGGTCTAAAAACCTTCCCATTTGTGCGGAGAGCAGAGCCAGCAGCTTATCTGACACAGAGGAGAAAGTCAGCAGAGCTGGGCTGAGATGCGGTAAAGCCAGCTGTCTTGTACTGCAAAGAAAAGTCTTTTCTTTCAAACTCTAGAAAAAGGCTCTTCTCTGTCTCTGTCCTTTGCTTCTTGTCTGAAAAATCATGCCAATGTTGTTTTCTTTTGGGAGGAACAGATTTTCCAAAGGGGCAAAATGGTATTTGTTTTGTGTTTGTTCTAGCCATCATTGTTTTCCCCTTCTGTTATAGCAATTGTTATTTTTCCCTTCTATTTATGCACAAACCCTGTCCCTTTCCCTGTCTCATGCCCTTCAACACATTCTTTACCTCGATTTTACATAGGTGTTTTGAAGGGTTTTAATAAAGCAAGGGTGCCTAACTAATGTGCTGTGCATGGAGATGAGTCTTTGGCATCGGAGCCAGGACTAACTGGAGAAACATCATCTGAAGTGTATTCTTTGTGAGGTATGTGTCTGCTGGAGTTGAATTTGTTTGCAAAACCACGTTGGTTGGTTGGAGGGTCATTTTCAGAGCAAAGGAGAAAAGTTTACTTAGCACTCAAACATCCCAGTATTTTTTAGAACTAAACATCAAGATAGTAATTTCAAAATATTTCTTCTTTTCTTTTTGCTCCTTATTGTATTTCATGTGATTTGACATGAAAGACTGGATTAATTATAGGGCAAAGAGGAGAATACTGCAGATGTTACTGGACATAATTTTTTTTAAAAATCTGTCTTGAACTCTATAATATCACGAGCCAGTAGGTTTCATGGGATTTTATGTATTGGAGCAACATGGTTGTCTTAAATTAGGTTTCAGTGTGTTGTTTTTGAACTGTCTTCATGCATCTGTATTTAGGATCATAGCTTCTTAGGGATTCAGGAGGGTTTTTTTGATCCCTCTCCATGCTCACTTTGGGGAAAATGGGAAGAAATTACTTTCCTGGGAAATAAGGTCCATAGAAGTCCTAAGGGGAGTTTGTGCCTTTCAGAGAGTGATTTGAAATCAAACAGGAAAGCTTTCCAGGGCTGCAGGCCCATCTGCTTCCCACGGCAAATAGCAGGAAGGTGCTGTGCTGGTGGTGCTGCCGGGCTGGTGCCCGGGCCCGGGGCGGGATGAACCCGGGCACGGGTGGTCCAGAGAACTGTGGGTCGTTGGGGTTTAGCTCAGCACCTCTCTAAACAGTTTAGAGCCTGCTCCTTGGTAGTTGGGGATGACACTGAGGGCCTGTAGCCAGGAGGTGGTGTGGCACTGCACGGAGGTGTGGAGGGTCAAGTAGGGAGCCCATGTTTCCTCCCCAAAGAGTTAAAACCCTTTGAAAGCAACAGTTCCTATACACATGAAATATCACACTTTTATTCATCTTGAACCTGCATCTCAGATGCTGCGCACAGGAGAGCCAACAGCAAACAGCTCTACTTGCAGCATTGAGCTTTATGAGAAGAAAAAAAAATATACCAAAGTGACCCAAGTTACAGGTAGCTGCCTCTCCAGGAGGCAAATCCAGTGCTAACAGCAAACACCCTTTTTCTCCATCCTTAGGAGGTGCTTTCAGAGCCTGGGGTCCCACTGCCCGCAGCCTGTGCTGCTCTGTCCTTGTTTTCTCATTTGTGCTCCCACCTCCCATGAAGTTCTCAAGGAGAGGTCTCCCATCTCTACACTAAGCTGAATGGCTTCACAGCCAGCATACTGCTTTCTCTTCACATCAGCACTTTTGGAAGTTTAAGATGAGCAAATTAAAGCGTAGATATTTTGTATATCAGCCCTATGTAAAAAACCTCCTCAGAGTTAAAAGATGTGGATGCTTCTGAGCCTGCAGCTGGCCCATCACGTGGCTGTTGTCACTGAGAAGAGCCTGTGATCTTCCCAGCAGTTCTTTACATGAAGCTATGAGGTCCCAATAGGAAGAGGGAGATGCAAAGAGCGTGGCTGCCTCCCACCAACAGGGATGCAGGAGATGGGCAGGTCTAGATTTTGGGCTCCAGCTCCAGCCCTCCATGTGTCCTCTGCAACAGGGAGTCCCTGCTTTTAGACAGAATCGGATGCTGTCTTTATAGTGATCAAGAAGAACTGGAATAATTGAGCACACAATGGGGGGGGGAGTGAATTGGATGGGATTCATTGCAAGTCTGGATGCGGGATGTTCATTATTGCAAGTTTTGTAACTGCCTGTGGCCGGTTTGAGATGCAGGCTTTCATCTGTGGAGCTAGATGTTGGTGCTTTCGGGCTTTGTGGCAAGTCACCTTCTGCTGCGGGGTCTGAGCACCTCTAAGCAATCTGCCAATGTTACTGAGCTGTTGTAGCCATCTCCTGAAGCAGGGAGGGGTGTAGCTGCGCGTTTAATGGTTAAGCAATGTGTTACTTCCTGTGCCACAAAACTGATGGCAGAGCTGTGAGTATTGCAGGGTTCATCCTGATCATCCATGTCATGATGTAGGCTTATGCTGGTGAGTCTAAGTTCTCCCATTCTCTCTTCTAGGGGACTTCCTTCCTCCACCCCCACCTCCTGTGGATGATCTTGGGAACATCACATCATCACAAGGTGCCTTTCCCCCCCCACCCCCTCTGGATGATGTTGCTTTCAATGTGCAGGTAAGAAGACCAAGAATTTTATTGTTCGTGCAGAACTGATCTAAAAATTTTGGAAATGAATGGATGATAATAAAATGAGATGGCAAAGTGCTGTGGTTAGAAATCATGTGTCAGGAACAACCAAGTCAGCTTTAGCAAGCTGTGTTTCCCAAGTAGGGAATATTTCCATTCAAAACCTGCTGGGATATTAAAGGATTTTTCCCATCCATCTTGAATTAGAAGACTAATTGCCTTATGTCCTTGTGATGGTGGATGGGAGTGAAACCTTCCCAGAATTAATTGTTTTCTGGAAGGGCCATCTCCTTCCATGGACTGTAGAGAGACTTCAGGGCAGTAATCTGATCCTAAAAGTGCTTTGTTTAGATGCCTAAAATTAAGTGAAGCAAATAAGCCCTGGCCCAGGCTCCAGTGATGTCACCGAGACCCTTTTCACCCCCTCTTTGCTGGCTTGGGTCCTCTGGATTTGGCATCTGGATGAAAGCGCAAGCTATAAGATGGATCAGGTGTTGATGGCATGTCCTGTATGGATAGGGACATACCTTGAACACCTTTGAAAAGTATGAACACTTTTGTGCAGACATGGCCAGCTTGCCTGAAGTACCGGCAACTCAGGCGCACTGAAGTACTGTTAGCTCAGGTGCATTCGGGAGAGATGTATTCAGACTGCAGGGACAGGCTGTCAAGGTGATCAAGGAGAGAGGAGCTGATCTTGCCAGTGGAGACCAGAAAAGTTTGTCTTGTTAGCTGAGCAAAAGGAAGGCTGAGGAGGGGATGTGCTTGCAAATTTCAAATACATTTGGGGAATAAGCACCGGAGAAGAACTATCTCAGCGCTGGGTGAGCGTTGGTGTAGGAACAGGAGACACTGAGCTTGCTAGAAGTACCTTCATGCTGGTGTTTAGAAAGTTTCTAAGCACTGGGGCTGCAAAGGTCTGGAAGAGCCTTCTGGGAGGAGTAGTGAGAACAAAGCGAGCATGATCTTGATTTGAGGCTGATGAGAGTTGTGTAACCACATATCCATAGCCATGGGGCTGCCCTTGATGACCTGGGAAGGTTGTGGCAGTCCTGTGTCCCTCAGTGGATTTGAACCTCAGAATAGGCTAGTGGACAGACATTAAACAGAATTCAAAAGATCTGACTTAGTTCCTGACCCTGCCACAAACTCTAGAGTCAATTCATCTACTTTGTGCCTCTGTAAAAAGAAAATATTTCCCTTCCTTGTGGGCTTCCTGTGTTCTCTTGCCTGTGGCAAGACGTTCAGATGTTATCACAAAGTCTCAGCAGTGTTCCTGCAATGGGTTCAGCATTACAAGCAGCCTTCGAGAGGGAAGGGGTTAATGAGGATTGCTTTCTCCCTTGCCAGGAAAGGCTGCAGCCATCAGAGATATTAGCCAAGTTCGGAGCATGGCTTTTCCCAGCCTTGGGGGAATGAAATAATTCCCCAGCAAGTGTTGTTCTGTCTTTTATCGCTCCGAGAAGAGTGGACCCCATGGGAGCAGCGGAGCAGCAGCCGGCTCCGGGTGAGGGCAGGGCGCTGCCTGCGCGGGGGCCTGGGCTGCGGAAAGGGGTCACAGCACCTCACGTGCTTCTCCGGAGTCAGGCTTCCCCCTGGCCGGGACCTCGCTGCATTTACTGCAAGGAGTTCGTGTCTTCAGCTCCTCATGCCTCCTTCCTGTGACGGGTCCAAAGATGTGCCCGAGCCGCTCGGGGCTGTTACTGGGACGTGGCTTTTGGTAGAACCGCCCGACGGGATGGCTCTTCCACTCTGAGCTCATGAAATTGTGATTTGTCACACCCTCTCTCTCTAGCTTTGGGAAGCTGGGGCTGGAGCCGTGTTCACAGCATTGGGTTTTGGCAGGATCTTGGTTAGAGCAAGAGTCCTTCGTGTGGCATCCCGTTTGGAGGAAGGAGAGTCTACCAGTCTAACCCAAGCATTCCTGCCTGTCACCACCCCTAGATGTACTCTGTGCAGCAAACACGGGTCCTTACCTTTAATCTATGCTCTCTTGTCACCTTTTTCCCTGTCTTTTCCCTTCCATCCTCTGACAGAGATCAGGAGCAGACAAAATCCAGGGCTAAGTCAGGAGCCTGCAGGGTCTTGTGTTGCAATATCATGATGCTCCTTATCTTGCAGGAGCAGCAAAAGCCGTGCTGAAGTAAGACGTAAGGCCCGAGAGATGAGAGAAAAAGGCAGATGGTGATGGAGAAAGATGCTTGATGCCTTTGTGCATTGAGCATAATCACTTTGACGACTCCATACGGAGTTTCCTGTGTTGAAGGAGCAGAACAAATGGTGGCTATGTTCCTTCTGCTGTGAATCTTTTCTCAGCCCTCAGAGCATGATTGCTTGAAGGCAGGGATCTCATGAGCATGTTGGATTGGACTCCAACAAACTAAAGCCGAGCCTGATTCTGCTCTCCAATGCTAGGCCACTTTATTTCCTTGCCTCAGTTTCCCCCTTGCTAAATGTAAGTGCTGGAGCAGATGATCCCATTCCTGAGCATGGACCGGATCTGAGGCTGCTGCCTGGGGGTGGTTCAGCTCCTGCAGACCCTGTGTAAGCCCTCCAGAATTTGAAATCCATCTGCTCCAGCAAATTCATCCCCTTTACAACAGAAATTTCTCTCTGGATGGCAGAGTGCTGATGACAGCTTATGAAATATGTGTGCTGTGGCTCCAGGTAGAGCTTTTTATACTAGGTGTTAAGTTGATGAGGGCAGCAGAATATATATATATTCAGTTTATTATCATTTCATGTGTTACTGTTAGCAGACGGCTGAAAGCTGCACAGATTATTACAGTTTAAGTTGTAGTTTAAGAGCAGCAGTTAAAATAATAATAATGCCCAGTCTTCATGGCCCTGTTTATCTCTGGATCTCTATTTGGACAGTGGAACTGGCCACTTAGGATCAGATCCAAAAAGGTACTTTAGTATCTGACTTCCCTTGAAGTGCTTATGCTCTGATGGAAATAAGAGGCCTGGGTTGCGAAATACCTTTGCAATAGGTCTGACATTTTCTTGTAATTTCTGTTTTCCCATTTAGATCCATCGTGTTTGGATTTACAGCAGGGCTGGGGAGGAAAGGGGAAGGAAATTTAAACTCTTATTAACTGTAATGCTTTGTTTTTTTTAAAAAAAAAAAAAAAGAATAAAAAAAAAAAGAAAAGGAAAAGTTTATTTTGAAAAAGAGTGCATTGAGGCTGGGGGAGAGTTGTGTTGGGAAGTTCCCCTTCAGCTGAAGTCAGCCGGCGAAGGCAAGGGCTTGTTCCCAGAATGGTGGTGAGGGTGCGGCAACGGCGTGTTTGACAAATAAGGACATGAGCAAAGAGCCTTTTGCCACGTTGGCTTGGGCTCAGTTTAAAAGAGAAAAAAAAAAAAAAAAATCCTGGACGGGAAGAAAAATGAAATCACTGTTTGTCAAAGAGAGATAGATAGATCTGGGAGGCAGGCAGATTTTTTTTTTTCTTTTTTTTTTTTCTTCCTTCTATTTTCAAAACAGGCAATCTGCCCAGGTTAGGAAAAGCAAAAGTGAAAAACTCTCATCAGCAGCCCCTCCAGTGCCTTGTTTGCTCACAGAGGGGGACCCTTGCTCATGGCACCAGCAATTTCTCCCTTCCTCGCCAGGCAGTGTTGCTCAGGGATGAGGCCTGTGTGCAGCAGCGTGAAAAGCTGGTCCCTGCCCTGCGACCCGTCCCTGGGAGGCTGGCTCCGGAGCCGTGCGTGCTACGGGGGCATCTCGAGAAGCTGTGTCGTGGGGGCTTCAGATCTCCACTGGCTTTGAAATGATCAGTTCTCCTTAAAGGAGGGGTTCGGAGCCCAGCATTTCTTGTTGGGGCAGGACCCGGGTGGCTTAGAGCAGATGTGACCCTCAGCTGTGGACCTGCCAAGGCCCACCTTGGAAAAATATGCATTTATGAATCGCCACTAAATAAATCACTGCAGGTGATTCATCTGCAATACGAGTCTGATTTTCATTTGGGACCCTAGATGCTACTGCAACACAGAAAAGAGAGGATTATATTCAGCTAGGAGGTCACCTCTTTCCCAACAACCTCTCGCTGTTATCAGTGGTTTTTTTATTGACAGGCCACAAAACACTTTACAAAAGAAGTACCAGTCTCTCCCTGATAAGGAAGCTGAAGGAGGGACAGTGCTTTGCCTAAGTCACCAGGCTGGCCAGTGGCAGGCTAAAAATAGGACCTAGATCTCGTGCATCCCAGAGCAATTCTGTCTGCTACATTGCACTGCCTCGTTACTGTAAGAACTGCGTATTAATGAGTAAATACCATCAGTGGCTGAAAACAGAAAGAATTTGGGATATACCAGAGGATGTGCAGAAGTGGTTTAGGATGGGGTTTAGAGTGAAGAAGCAGTTGCATGAAGTGCAATATAAAATAGTTTACTATACCAGTTCTTGTTATAACCACGTATGGATGGAGGGGCTGCAGTGCTGCAGCTACGTGGGCAGGGAGCTATTCCCATGTTCAGATCTACTGGACTCACTGGTTGTATTGTCCTGTTGCAATACACAGAAAATCATCCAAAGGGCTCAAATTCCTATTGCTAAGGAATTTTGGAAGGAGAAGTGCTGAAACACAGTCTTGAAAGCATATGTGCCTTCCTCTGTGAGGCTGTTCAGAGACCTGGCTTGCTTCTACCTCATGCTCGTGCCTGGGAGAAGGTGGGAACGTGTTGATAGATGTGAGCAGCAAGAACCTCATCCTTGTTATGCAGGAGGTTGCCAGGCATTTCTCCGTTTGACTCCCTCCCAGTGAGTGGCAGCAGTGGTGCCTCTTTGTGGGCTGTGACTCACCAGCTAAAGAAACAGCCGGAATGGAGGAATTTTTTATTTTTTTTATTATTATTTTTTTTTTTTAATTTTGGGTGCACATATTGACAAATAGTTGGGGAGGGAAGAGCGTGATTTTTGCCTACAGGGGGTGCTGCCCTAAATAGCACATCTGCTCGGCAGCGGGGTGGCTGGGCTCTGCCTGGATGCT